AATTTGACAACTTCTATGAAGTACCTTGGAAGACAAATTAATGAAACTGACTCTGGAAGAAATATAAAATTTGAATAGCACCTATTAAAGAAAGTATATTCCTAGCTTGAAAACCTACCTCTATGACAATAACAGGCTCATATACATTTTAACTGATAGATTATATCAAGCATTTAAAGCAGGAAAAAGAAGGAATATTTCCCCCCTCATTTTAGAAAATCAACATTGTGCTAATCCTAAAACTGGATAAAGATAATAGAAGAGAAAAGTATGAACATAAATAAAAATTTGTTTAACAAAATGAAGTATTAGAAGTCAGATCTGACAGTATGTAGTAAGTGATTTTATTATAGGGATGGCAGTGTTGGTTCAGCATTGGAAGATCCACCCCCATAAGTCATCATTTTAACAGAGGAAAGGAAAAAGCTATATGATCCTATCAGTAGTTGCGGAAAAAGTATTGGACTAAATGCTATAGCTGTTCATGGTAAAAGCTATCAGGACACTAGAAGTAGAATAGAACCTTCTCAACAGATAAAAGACATTTACTCCATACTTCCAGCAAAAACACCTTATACGAGTGGAAAAGATACAATGCTTTCTCCCTAAGGTGGGGAACAAGGGCAGATATGCCTACTCTTCATCTGCCCATTAAACTTTGAAACATAGGCCCAAACCAAAATAGGCTGGCAATAAAATGACACAATTAGCATAGGACTGGCAAAGTGGAAGTAAAATCTTTATACGTAGGTGAAATGATCATCTACAGAGAAAATACTAAGAAATCTCTAGGATCCCTAGAACTTGTATTTGAATTTAGCAGGATTAGAAAACACAAGGTATATGTAAAAATTCAGGTCTATGTATACTTGCTATAAATGAAGAGTTGGATATTGAAATTTAGAAGTTATGTAGGAGTACAAAGGACCTGGAAAAGTAAAAAGAAAAAAAAAACAATGTTGGAAGACATATATTACCTAATTTTAAAACTTCCTCTAAAGCTACAGTAATCAAGGCAATGTTGGTGTAAGGAAAGACATATAGATCATTGGAATAAGACAGAGAATATAGAAATAGAACCACACATATATGGTTCCCTGAGTTTTGAAAGATTATTTAACATTAACATTTTATAGAACATAAACTCAACTTAAGAGCAGAAGAAAAGATAATGTTTTCAACAAATGGTACTAGAACACCTCGTATTCGTAGGCACTTTATGTCCATACATAAATATAACTTGAAAGGATCTATGAACCTAAATATGAAAGACTAAATCTCTAAAACTTTAAGAAGAAATTATAAGGGAAAATGTTCATGAATTTAGGGTAGGCAAAATTTTCTAGGATACAAAAAATATGCATAAAAGAAAAAAATTGATAAATGAGATTTCATCAAAATTTAGAACTTTAAAAGACATCATTAAGAAAATGAAAAGTAGTCCTTAACCAGAGCATATTTGTAATACATATAACCTATGACCAGAATATATGAAGAACTCTTACAGCTCATTAATAGGCAACCCAATTAAAAAGTAGACACAAGAAGATGATAAATAGCCAGTACAGCACAAGCAAAGGTGTGCAACACTAGAATCAGAAAAATACTAATCAGTACAATAACAAGATTGTATTATACACTCATTAGGGAGATTAAGTTAAAAATTTTAAAAGAACAAACGCTGTCTTAGGTGTGAGCCAGTTAGAACTTTCTAATTCTGCTAATGTGAATGTAAAATGATAAAACCATTTTGGGAAACAATACAGAAATTTCTTGTATTACTGTCAAGAACCAACAGTACTGTTCTTAAGTTTTTACTTAAGAGAAATGAAAACACATGTTCACAATACATTTGTACACACAGGTTGACTGTCCTTTATCTGAAATTCTTGGGACCAGAAGTGTTTCAGATTTTGGTTTGAAATCCACTTGATCTGCAAAGAGAATAGCTACTCCTGTTATTTTTCAGGTTCCTGTCACATGGAGTACTGTTTTCCACCCTTTACTGTTTTCAGTCTATGAGTTTCTTTTTGAGTTAAGTGTGTTTCTTGTATGCAGCATATTGTTGGATCTTGCTTCTTGACCCATTCTGCCAGTCTATTTCTTTTAATTGGTGAATTGAG